TTATGGGAGCTTAGGAACCCTTTGGGGGTTCAAATTTCATCCTCTCTCTTCTCTCATGTTCTCCACCCTCTCTCATTTTGTTTTCATGTTATTTCTACTTTCCGTGGAGTGTTAAGCCTTTGGGGTTGATTATGTTGTAAATTCTTAATAGGATTGTGAGGTTAGATTAATAAATTTGTTTGTTCTTTTTTATTCTCTTTGTGATTTATTTTTATCTATGTCTTTTGCTTCTCGATCAAGTAAAAGTAATGATTTTTACATTATAGCAAGTAAGCATGGTGTTAAGTCTACATAAGACATGTGAGTCCAAAGGTTTTTAATTTTAATTGAGAATGTACTTTGATTAATGTTAGAAGCATTCACATGATTGGATGAGTTTTCTCTGATAATTGAGAATGTACTTTGATTAGATGTGGAAACTTTACAAGAATTAATCAAGAATATACTTTGGTTGATTAGCTTTTTACTTGATATAAGAGTTTAGGCATAATAATATTTAATTGAGAATATACTTTGGTTAAATTTACTATGATTAATTTATAAAGTTCTTGCTTTTAATTACTTTAGTTAATGGTGAGAATGTCAATCAAATTTACATTGATTAATTTGAAAATCTAAGACAATAATTAATTGAACAATAATATTTAGATAACCAATGAATCGTATTTTGAAAAAATATTGAAATCAACTTATTTTCTTTATCATTATTTTTATCTTTTTAAATCTCTTTATAAATTTCTTTCTTTGTATCTTTTGTTACTTTGTTCTTTAATCTTTTCTTTATCTTCTTTATTATTTTACTAAATCTTTTGTATAGTTTTTATAAGAACTAATTTGTTAATAATCAATTTTGTGTTCATTGGGAGATGACTTATAGTTAAATTTACTCTTTCTATTTTGTTAGCTACTATCTTAGCAATACTAAAGTTATTATAATTTAGTAGCATTAATTTGATCGTGTCAACCGCAACTTTCATCAGAAACCTTTAGAGTTTACTTGTACAAAACTCTTTTATTTATACTCTTTATTTATCTACTATTATCTTAAATTTTTTTATAGAGAAGTCAAATTTTAGAAAGAGAAAATTTTTAAAAGTTCAAATTTTATTAAGAAACTAATTCACCCCTTTTAGTTTTGTCCAATTACACAGCTTTAATAACATGAATTTCCTGAAACTATAAGTAGTGATAAGGACTTAATGCTTGTTAACCAATTTTGACAGGAATTTATGGCGATACAAGGGGTGCAGGTCTAATTGTCCACAGGTTATCGCCTCCAAATCTATGGCAAAAGAAGGTTATGAATGTTAAAGAAAAAAACAAATTCTGCACTCGCACACTATAAATATACTGCAGTGAAATTCTGCACTCGGATACTGCACTAAAATTCTCTAGTATAATTATGTGAGAAACTGAGGAGGTGATTTCTTTCATTCACAGACTTGGCTTTAAATAGCCTTACAAATGGGCCAACGGGCCGTATGTTAATATAAAATGATACCTAACTATAAAATAAAAACTTTATGCAAATAATATTGTATCAAACAACATAAAACAGCTTATCAGTAACTAAACAAACTAAAATAAAAACAACTGTCACATATTTTAATGAAACGCACAACAACAACTTAAATGATCATGAAATTCCTATTTTAACCCTTCTTTAATTTTAAGTTTGTCTAACAAAACTCCCCCATAAACTTAAAATTATCTTTCCTTCATTCCAATCATCTTCCTTAATTCTTGAACTTTGATTCACCTCTAGACCCAAAAAATATTTCATCATGCCTAGATCGGTCATTTCGAACTCCCTCTTCATCACTTCTTTAAATTCTTCAACCAGCTCGATTTTACTTCCCATGAAAATCAAATCATCTACATAGAGAGAAACAATCAACATACCTGTTTTGTGCTTCTTTAGGTATAGAGCATGTTCATGCGGACATTGCTTATAACCATTCTTCTTGAAATATGCATTAATTCTTTCATTCCATGCTCGAGGAACTTGCTTCAGACCATACAATGCCTTCTTCAGCTTCAACACCTTCTTTTCTTCACCCCTTCTCATGTAACCGAGAGGTTGCTCTACATATACCTCCTCTTCAAGAAAACCATTTAAAAATGCAGACTTCATGTCCATCTGCTGAATCTTCCATCCTTGTTGAACGGCTAGTGAGAATAGTAGCCGGATTGTTTCCATCCTTGTTACTAGAGCAAATACTTCATCATAGTCAATCCCCTTCTGCTGTTTGTAGCCCTTCACCACAAGTTGGGCTTTGTAGCACTCCACCTCTCCTTCTGCATTAGTTTTCTTTCTGTATACCCACTTTACACCAATTGACTGAACACCCGTAGGTAAATCTATCAGCTCCCACGTTTCATTTTTTTCAATTGAGTTGATCTCCTCATCCATAGCTTTCTTCCATCTTTCATCAAGCACGACTTTTTCATATTTTATATCTTCTGCACCTGTTAACAAACATGCTACATTTACCTCATCAGTGGAGTTATCTGAGTTCTTGCTAGTTATATCTTGCTTCAAACACCTTTTATGTAAGATCTTCAGTTATAGTTCATACAACCGGTTTTTCTTTGCTTTAACCTTGGCTGCTAGACGACCATGCTTATCCTTTAAATACAGTACCTGGTCTTTCATAAAAACTAAATTACCTTTTTCAATTATTTGACCAATGCTTAAAATATTGCTCTTTAACTCAGGAACATAGTAAACGTCCCTAATCTCTCCAACTCGTTCATCCTTCTCCATATGCCAGATTGTTCCACGCCCTTTCACGGTCACCTTGGAGTCATCTCCGAAAGACACAAATCTAGCCTCCACCTTGGTGAGTTTATCAAAAAAATTCTCGTTTCCACACATGTGATTACTTGCTCCAGTATCTAAATACCATACCGAATTGGTAGAAATCTCCTCAGCCTTTGATTTCAAGCATGGTCCAACATCCGAATTCTCCACCTTCGACTCTGAGATCTTTGATGTCAACAAAATTCCACACTCTTCTTCATCTCCTTCTTCTGTAAGAAGGTTACTCTCACCTTTCTTCTCGGCTCGACAAAAATTTAGCAATGTGACCGAGCTTATCACAATTGTAGCACTTTATTGATCTACATTCATTTGCATAGTGGCCATGCTTGCCACACTTAAAACACTCCACTTCTGACCGATCTCCTCGGCCTTTTCCTTGTCCCCGATCATGCCAATTCTGCTAACTGGTTTGCTCTTCATTGCCTCTACCACGTCCACCTCGTCCTCGTCCTCGACCTCCTTGTCCTCGGCCTCCAGGACCTCCGCTCTGAGTATTCCGAGCTCCATTTGAGTCAAACTTTGTTTGTAGTGCTTGATCATCGGGTTCCCTCTTTTTCTTCTTCTTCCTCAATTCGTGGGCCTTTAATGACCCAACTAACTCCTCCACAGTGAGAGTTGACAAATCTTTTGTCTCTTCAATAGTGACCACGATACTTTCAAAATCATCTGTCAGATTTCTCAAGATCTTTTCTGTAACCCGGTTAGGAGGAACCTCTTCTCCGTTCATTTCGAGTTGGTTGGCCATCTTCTGCACTCGAGCTATAAACTTGGCAACTCCTTCCTTTTCATCCATCTCCATATGTTCAAACTCTCTTCTAAGGGCTTGAACTCGGACCTGCTTCACGCAGGTATCTTCTTTGTATGCCAGGTTCAAAATTTCCCATGCTTCTTTTGCTGACTTTGCATTAGCTATTTTCTCGAATCCAGATTCATCCACTGCATTATACAGAAAGTATAAAGTCGATTTGTCTTTCACTCGTGTCTTTTTCAATGCAGCAATCTGGTTCACTGTCTGATGCTCATCATCCGTGGGTTCATTGTACCCGTCCTCCACTATGTCCCATACATCTTGGGATCCAAGAAGAACCTTCTTCTGCAAAGACCAATTATCATAATTGATCTTTTCCAACAATTGTGGCACACTTATCCTGTTGAATAACTTTGTCATCTCTCACAAAAAATAAGCACTCGCTTTTTCTCTCATAGTATTTGACTCTCTTCTTTCTCTTTTTTTTTTCTCGGTACTTAGAGCATAAAGCTCTGATACCACTTTCTGCACTCGCACACTATAAATATACTAGAGTGAAATTCTGCACTAAAATTCTCTAATATAATTATGTGAGAAATTGAGGAGGTGATTTCTTTCATTCACGGAGCTGGCTTTAAATAGTCTTACGAATGGGCCAAAGGGCCGTATGTTAATATAAAATAATACCTAACTATAACATAAAAACTTTCTGCAAATAATACTGTATCAAACAAGATAAAACAGCTTATCAGTAACTAAACAAACTAAAATGAAAACAGCTGTCACATATTTTAATGAAACGCACAGCAGTAACTTAAATGATCATCAAATTCCTATTTTAACCCTTCTTTAATTTTAAGTTTATCTAACAATGAATAGATGTCTAGAAACCTATCTGAGATGTATGTGTAATGAATCACCTTACAAATGAGGGAAGTGGCTTCCCCTGGCAGAATGGTGATATAATACAACATATCACACGACTATCAAGCCTACACCTTATGAAATTGAATACGATCAGGTTCCCCTTATTCACCTACCTTATCTACCCTGGTAATCCAGTGTAGAGTTGGTGAACAAAAGCCTCAATAAAAGAAAACAGATGTTGAAAGTAATTAAATTTCATTTGACGACAGCTCGAGAAATGATGAAGTGGCTGATAGAAGCACATTAGATAAAATTTACGAAATTGGTGACATGGGTTATGTAAAATTATATGCTTATAGACAATTATGTTATCAACATAGATGAAAACACACAATTGCAAAAATGGGGATACTGCTTTAGGTTATATTACTGTCAAAAGTAGGTGTATGAGTTCTTTATCAAGTGAAAGGAACTGAGTGTGATCTATGTTCACGTGGAGAATGAAGTCTGCTGTATGCATCAGACCAATAATAGTCCAAAACAAAATAGAATTTCGGAAGATTACTGCAATAGATATATGTCATCATTTGTATAAGCTCAGAAAACATAGGAATCCCCATTTCCTCCAAACAACAAAGTTTTCATTTTTCCATCCCTGCCTATCTATATACACTCTTGTCCTTGAAGATAAACCATTTTATGCAGCGGAACAAATTCATCGTATTTATACCTAACTTATTAAACTCTAATGTATGCATAATTACCAATAAAACATCAAATGCTAGCTCATACGTAGCTATGAGCATGTAGCTAGACCATCTTGTAGGACCAAACTTCCTTCTTGATCCAATGTCTCCCGAACTGCCTTGTAAAAGGCTATCCATGAAGAAGAGTAGGCGTCAACAGGACCCCACAAATATGTAGGATTTGGACTTGCAGGGCTTGCCCTTACCAAATCCAAAACTGAAACTGGTCTAATATTCTGTGGGAAATTGAATGCCAAGTTATCAACTTTGTGTTCATAAATTTTGCCATTTCTGTCCAATTTGTACCTTGAAGTGCCCTGAAACTCTCCTTTGGCTTCCCATGGAACCCTTGGCACTCCCTTAAGGTTCCACCTCACCAATATCACATTCTCTGAAGGCTGCCACACCCTGTACACATCAAGTGCAATCTCACGAAACAAGATTTTGCCATGAAACCTCAATGCCCAGAAGATCAATTTATAATTTTCAATCCCTGTAAATCTGTTCATGGGGTCCATGAATGTTATGTCATCCCTGAAATTATCAAATTTTAGTGGAAGCCTCCTTAAATTAGTAATAACATTTAATAGAAGAAAAAGGATATAACTCAGATACACCATATTACATCTATAACAATTTTAACTATATATTTGGATTCCTATGGGAATTCCGTAAAAGTTTGGACAAGGAACTCCCCCTTCCAAGCATGCAATATATATAATTGTAATAACTTTTCTAATGTATACATTTTGTTGGACCCTTTGCCCTTCAACTCATTGCAAAACGCTTCACTGGTCAGTTTTAACCCCTGCTCTAACAAACTACTCAATATATAAAAAACAAGAGAAGAAAACCACAATAATTGTATCCAACTCTAAAGACTGAAAAAACTGAGAGTAAACAAGCATGGTTGTCTTTCCAATGATATATAAAAAAGCATTTAGGATTTGTTATATACATCCACACAAAATTAGATGCTGATTTTTTTATAGCAACTGAGATTACTTCTTTCATCCTCTCTCAAGAATCCTTCAAATTTAGCATTTTAAGTGGCTAACCAAAACCAAATTTAGCTGGCAATATAAAGACAATAAATATCAAGAAAGAATGAAAATTTCAATTGAAAATTATATTTACAAAGGGATGAGATACTCTATTAGAATCTTGTCTGAAAGTGGGGGAAAAAAGCAGCACAGAGAGCAAAGAAATTGAAGAGAAGGGCAGATGGGGGTGAGAAAGATACCTATAAATGTCATAGTTGAGGTCTTTGATGAAGATCAAAGGAAGGTCCTCACGTATGGTCCTGACAGCAAGGCCAAGGTTGAGGTAGAATTCATCCTTTGGCTGCTTATTGTCTTGTGGTGTGGTGAGCTGTGCAACTTGTGCAGTGGAAGCATGGAGAGAGGAAGAAGATAAGGGGAAGTGAGAAGTGGGTTTTGGAGGTGAAAGGGTTTGGTTTTGGTGAAGGTTTGATTTGTCTTTGGATTTGGATTGGGCTAAGAGGGAAGGTTGAAGGTTGGGAAGGAGAAAAGCCATGGCTTTCAGTTATTCTCAATGGTTTTGTTGCTAAAGATATTCTTAGCTTTTCATTTGTCTCTCTGTGTGTGAGAAAGAAGAGAAATTTTTGTGTTTGTGTGAGTTTGATGTTGCAAATTGAGGCTGTTGTTGATTTCGAAGTTTGCTTTGGAGTTTGTGGCTTCCAACGTAGCTATGAAATTTAGATGAATACAAATGTTGCCGATTTTGCGCTTTCACCCTCGTATTTTGTAATAACGTAATAATTTATGTACTATGATACGATAATAACTTTTTTTTATTATAAATTATTAGTTATTATTTTATTGGTCATGGATCAATCATAAAGTATCCAGTAAAATGTTAAACAAAATTGTTAAAAAGACATTTTTCATAATTTATTTCAAAAAGAATATATTGCAATGGTAGGGGTATTGACACCTTATTTATTATATTTATGAATTTATACATTTGAGTTCACATCGTTTTAGCTCCATGAATCTTATAGCTTTTAATACATCTTAATTAATAAAAAATGTTTGTTAGAAATGCATTGTTCTACGGAGTTATATACATTCTTACCTTATTTAATAATTTTATGCGTCGATTTTATTTCAAAATTTAGGTTAAGTTGTAATTTAGATCACAATTTTGGTGCTCTTTTATTTAAGAATAGGAGTAATTTTAATAAATAATAAAATTTGATTATTTAAAATACTATATTATAAATAAATTTTTTATTAATCAAGTTTAATTTTATAGAAATTACTATTTTCTTAAAAAAAATTCTAAAACTTTTTTTTAATTTTGTTGTAGATTTATGATTTCATTATTTATCCTTTCAAATATTATAAGCACTAAAATAATTCATAACATTGTTGACACAATCAAATTAATATTATTAAATTATAAAATCTTTAGTATTATTAAGACATAGCAACAAAAGATATTAGTATAAATAAGATAATACAAAATCATCTTCCAACAAACATATAATTTATTCTTAATAAATTGGTTTTTATAAAAAAAACTATAAAAAGAAGTTATTTAATAAAATAACAATAGTAATAAAAGAAGACTAAGATAAATAAAATTAATAATAATAAAATAAAATAATAATAATCAAAGAAAAAATAAAATTGTGAAAATATGAAAATAATTGTAAAAAAAATAAGTTGATTTAATTGCATTTTCAAAATAAGATTTCTATCTAAATATTATTATTCAATTAATTATTGTTTGACATTTTAAAACTAATTAATGTAAAATTTCAATTAATTTATTGATATTCTCAGTTTTAACTAAAGTACCATCTGAATTAAAAGTGAAAACTTTTTAAATTATTTATAGTAAATTGAATCAAAGTATAATTCAAATCAAATTTTACTATTATTTTTGTTCTTTTATCTCTTTATCAAATAAAAAACTAATTAAACCAAAGTACATCTAAAATTTACTTTTGTATATTGCTGGACAATTGAATAATTAGCACAATTTAAGATATGTTGAATTAATATAACACGTGATAAACGTACGTTATTTAATTATTTTATTTTTAAGTGTGCGGGTTACACGTACAAAAGAAGCACCACGTTTCTACCCCAAAACCATTTTACCCTTATTAAATAAAAAATTAGGGTTCAACCTAAACTTTTAGGTGAGTTCAAATTACTTTATTTTTTGTCATCATAATATCGCCATAGAACTTGCACAAGTTATGATACGTTGAGATCTAAGTGCAGTTTAAATTTCATATTAAATAAAGATTAAAAAAAAGTGAATATGTTGTGACAAAGGAAAATTCATAAATCATTACTTGTTTTGAATTGGAGATTTTATCAATTTTTTATATGAACTAAATTTGTGTCAGGTTGTATTTTTTAAAGAATTTGCTTAACTGACCAATTTAATAAAAATTTCAATTAATTGTTATATTTGACCATTTTTTACTAATTCGGATAGTTTTTACTTAGTTTTTACCTAGTTTAAAATATAAACAAAAAATAGAAAAAAAAACTATTTTTAAAATCCTAAACATTTCTTTAGGAAAAATGTTTTTGCAATCTAAGCATTTCTTAAGTTTTTCTCCTCTTCTTTTCTTATTAGGATGTCGTCATCCTAATCTTTGTAATATTCAAATTACGACACTAATTAATTTAGGTAATTTTACTTTTGTTCCACAGAATATAAGAATTAATTAATTTACTTCGTACAGTTTTTAACTCTTGTATAAAATACATTTATTTAATTCCTTTTATTATTCACTAAAAAATTAAAACGGATGATATTTTGCTATAATCGTCAAAATCACCGACTATAAATACCTTTGAGTTATTTTTAAGTTCTTTTCTATTTTATAGTCTTTTTGTATTTTATTCACTCCTATTCAAAGGTGACCAATTAGATTTCTTGACTTTGATACTTTTGCGCTTAGAAATTAAAATAATTCGATTGTTTCAAATCTAATGGTTTCGTGTTGTGTGGATAATCAAATCAATGATGAGAGGTGGAAATAAATTTTGAAGCACACAATTTTGTTGTAAAGTTGATACACATCATCAAACATAATTGCCACTTTTTAAAGTCTAAATCAAGACATGAATTTCATGTTATTATGTTGATATTTTTTATAACAATTTTTTTACAATAAATAATGTATCATTATTTTATTTTATTGATTTATTTAAATTTACTTTTAAAAAAAATATTTGAAACAGTCCAATTATAAGATATCACGTTAATATTGTAAAATAATTATTAAAAAAATTATTAAAAAAATATTTTTTCCCCAAAAAAGTTAATATCCCATTCCCACATAAATAGGGTTTCGTTTATCTTCTTTTTCTTAGCCAAATGAATTGGAAATGGTCAAATTCAACACTTTCATAGCTATTTTTCTTAACCAATGTAAAAGACCTATGAATATAAAAATATTATTCAAATGTTAGATCATGAGAATCCTGCTAGTTTTAAGACCAAGTACCTCATGGATAAAATTCTCATTAACTTTACCTAATATATTTTTCTTACAATTATGTTAATTTTGTTTATGAAATATTATCGTTTACCTAGAATTTACCATCTTGAAAACTTTAAAATTTGGAAAAGAAAAAATTAACTTGCTATAATCATGTCATTATAAAATTTCTTATATACATATTCTCATTGCCTAAAGACTATAAGGATTTGTTTTTACACTAATCCTTATCCTTAGAGTAGGTTATATTTTTTTTTCTTTTGCAAAATGGAAGAAATATGAACATTATTTTTTCCATCTTTAATTTTATTTATTATGCAATCATTATTTTAAAAATAAATTCAATACAATTCTTGAAATTAAAATTTTTTCATAAATTTTTGGTGACATCACGACTATATTTTTAGTTTCTCAAAAATTTTAAAACATCAAAATTACAAGAGAACCAATACAAATTATATATACGATATATTTTAGTGTTTTACTTATGCATTTGAATCCTTCGCATGTTTACTTAATTTAAAATATCATATAAGGCTTCTGTAAAAAAAAATAACGTAAGTACAGGAAATTGAAACTAGAACAACAATAAAAAAATTTTCAACTTTTGTTTAAATATTTTATAGTAGAACAGTAAATTTGTTTTATTTATAACTTTTTGCATAAAATTTTAAATGAGGAGATTTTTGAACCTAACCCTAGGTTTTCGTACTCAAAGAATTTATTTTTAATTCTGAAAATTCAAATTGTGTATGTATAAATACTGAGTAAAAATATTGGACATATTGTATATTTAAAGAAAAATGTAATAAACTATAATGAGTTAGTGATTGTGATTGATACCCTTTACCTTAATGAAGTAAATGATATCTTAAGATTGAAATGGAAGGTCCAAAGTGGTGTTTTTCTACCATTGGAGTGGATTCATATAAAGTTTATCACAATTTATAAAATAAGATTTAAGAAAAATAGGAATCCATAAATTTTAACTCTAGATCTAATTAAGTGAAATTATATGATTAAAATTCTAAGACAGAAACAAAAGAGAAAAAAAGAGAAAAACATCAAGAGAAAAAGAAGAAGAGAAGAAGACAATGATGCGAGAAAGCTCTTTAGCATTGTTTTTTGTACGTTACATCCCGGTTCTAGGTTTTTGATTCCTAATAAAAGCCTATATTTCAAAAATTAACTTAAATTGGTAAAACAACCAAAGTCCAAAACATTTATATGTTTTAGTTATCAAGACATTTGAAGCCTATTTAAAAACAGGAAACAAGAGAATAAGAACCTCTTTATTACCATTTCAAGAATAATTCAAAATTATTAAAAGCCAAGTACTAGAGGAGTATGTTTTGATTCTTACAATAACCGAAACCTGTTCTTAATCATATGTTTTAGTTCTTATTTCTACTGAAACCTATTGATTAACAAGGCAACGGTTCTTTTGGATAACAAAAAGTCTATTTGTTACCATTTCCAAAGTAATTCAAAATTATTTAAAATCAGGTAGTGAGGAAATTGACTTTGATTATAGTAATTGTTGTAAAACTTGTTATTTTGCAAAAGATTCGTACGAGAGAAATTGAAACACGTTGTCCTAATAAGGGTCAAATATCATTCCACAAGTCTCGGGATATTTGTTTATCACTGTTACCATCCTGAAAGGCTTGGGAGTTAGGTTTTGAATAACATCTTCCGTCAAATCTCCTCACGCAAGTTACAGAATCAATTTCGGGTAGCTGCTTCCGCAAGATTATTTTTTCTTGGATCACTCATTTTCCAACTCTATAAATAGAGCTTTCATCCATTTCAAACAGAGACTTAGGCACTCTTCTTTTTCTCTTAATCTATTATTATCCTTTAGTTTATCTTCTTTCTTTTATCTCTTAAAATTATTCTAGATTTATTTTATTATGTTTTTAGAGATCTTTGCTAGTTCTGAGATCATCAGAAATCCTGAAAAGTTTCTGTTGTATTCTGAGAGGCTTGCCGCAATACACCACAGATAAATCCTTAAGGACAGTGATCTACACGCTTTAGAAAGTCTTTTGTTCGTGATCTTTATTCTATTATTGTCACCTTCTACAGTAGTAATAATTTTATTCTTAATTATATGTTTCAGTTTGAACTATAACTGAAATTTATTACTATTTTTTATTTTGTTTTGATTTTGTCTACACATAATGAACTTACACAAAAACGAAGGACAAGTAGTAATATTACATAACATATAACCTATAAGATTAAGCCATGAAATAACTTTTAATAATTATTTTTACAAAGTGTTAATATTGACTAGAAAGATATAAAATTTGTATATATAAACAAATAATAAACAAATAATATTAGGTACATGGACATAATTTTTTTTATTTATTTAAAAATTAACTAAAATACTTTATGTTACTCTAGAGTAGACTAGTCAGCAAAGTTGTTGTTTTAATTTCAACCAATACTATTTGAGTGCAACTAATTACAGATTATTTAGATAAGAAAAATGATTATTTGACACACCTAAATTTTTTATATTTATTTGACATTATTTTTACTTTTTTTTTGAAAAAATATAAAATTTTATATTTTTATGACTATTTTATCCTTATATTTTGTGTTAAATGAGCGTAAAAATGTGTCATAGTATCATACCTCTTTAGATAAAGTTCTTGGAGTTGAAAATAAAATGGTAAAGTAGAGGAAACAATACAATGAGGATCTTCCCCAAGAGGAATTCTCACAAGAATATTCTTCAAAGGTTTGATTTTTTTTCAAGAGCCAATAGCAAGAGGGAGCACATTTGTTTTCTATATATAACGTACTATAATAGCATCTTTTCTCCATTGAAAGAGCACATTCCTTTTCTAGGTACTGCATACTAAATAATATATTTTCTTTCTTATTGGTTATACACAGACTGTACTTTATTGTTCTTTAATGGTGACCAGAAAATAATGACAGAATAATATAATTAATAATAGTAAAATTATAGTTATACTATAAATTATCAACCAAAGAAAAAAAAGTATTGATAAAACAAAATTTTATTGATGGATTATAGAATTTTATTTATTGATAGAAATATTTATTAGTAACAGATTTTGTATTATCATTGATAAAAACATCCATTGATAATGCATTTATTTAAAATTTATTTATATTTAAAGTTTTTGTTATCGATGTTTTTATCAATAAGTTTTGTTGGTAAAATGTATATTAAAGTTTTGGCCTTACACTTTAACTATTTCATAGTAAAATCTATCAAATAATTAAAATATTCTAAAATTTATGAGGATTTTGATCATGATGAAATTTTTTCAAATAGATTGATAATTATTTTAATAATTTTTTTTAAAATCAATCAATAATTCAAGAAAGAAGAAGGCGGTTAGTAGGCTTGGAAAAATTTAATAAGGGAATTATATTAAGTATTTATTAATTAAAGATAATATTTTTTATTTAGATTTAATATTTATTTTGGTCTTTATATTAGTCACTTTTGTTAAAAGTGGTCCTCAAGTTTTTAAAACATTCAAAATAGTTCATTTTTTGTAAAATTGGGTTCATTTTGGTCTTTTTCGCTCATGGTATTTAAATCACTAATGGCATCATGTCCACCTAAGCTAATATTACATGAGCTATCAGTTTTGGATATATGTGGTAAGTTAAGTGAAAAGGATGTGACAATGGTAAATTAAAATTGTTTTTGTAAAATTGTTGTTCAATCATCATCTTCCACCACAAGACCTTCGTGCTGCCGTGGACACAGCCTCCAAGCACCAACCAAAACCAGAGACCAAAATCACGAAACGCGAAAACCCAATTGCAATCTTCACCATCATGAAAACCCTAACTCCAAACCCAAAAACCCCAAATTAGTAGAACCCCATCTTCCTTCGTCAACTATCTTCGTGCTGCTATAGAAAAACCCAGTCACATATTTGCGAAGTCAAACCTCTTAACCCCCAATCTCACCGCGAAGTATAAACCCTAAACGCTTTATGTAACATCCCAAATTCTGAGATGCCACGAGTTTACAAAAACTTTTGAAAACTTAACTCTGATACCATTATGAAATACCGATTGTACAAAAACTTCTATTTATTTTAACTGAATTTAGAAAACTTCATAAATCAAACGTAACTATAAAGTGTTTATAAAATTTCATTACAAAACTATTAGTGTTGAAATTCAAATCCCATAGTTCTCTCACCTATCTCGTTGCTCAACTTCGCTTTACCTATACCTGTCACAATATCTACTCCCGTACAAGTACGATCATCGCAGGTGAAAACCACAACATGCAAGGGTGAGCTAATAGAAACAAGTCATATAACATACATAAGTATTAAACATCAACTTAGAATAGTATTTCTGAATAGTACATATCATCATACACCTATACATATCTTTACATAACATCACATAAAATCATTTACACCGCACTATCAGAATTCAGAATCACCAGCATGTAACCATACAATCATTTTCATCAAAGTAACCAATTCACACCCAAACTCAGTTGGTCATTCACTAACTCGTTTCCCAATTTGTTTGAAACCATTCACAATATATTGAATCACCACCAGGTCACTCACATACAACATAAGGTCGAGCGTCACCTCCCATCACTCTCTTAAAGAGCTTCACCGGGCCAGTACACTTTATCACGCCATTACACCATGACATTTCCCACCACTCTCTGGAAGGCTTCACCGACAAATACACTACTTCCCACCACTCTCTTAGAGCTTCACCGGGCAAGTATACGCTTTCCACCACCCTCTTGGAGCTTCACTAGACAAGTATACACCCCCACCACTCTACCCTCAAAGAGCTTCACCGGACAAGTACCAGTGTTACTCCCACCACTCTTCCAGGATATTCACTGGGCACTTGACAACATGAAATACAATTCCACAAAGAAATCATATTATACTCACACAATCATCCAGTAAAACCACATATGTCCAACATGCTCAAAATAATTTATCAAGCAACAAAATAATAAGTCAACCAAAAATAAATAATCAAATATGAACTATACACACCCCTCTTTTTTAATTACAACCACCACCAACCCATTATCTATAAAAGAAATAAAGTATTATAACCACTCATGTAGACCCCACATGTCCCACCAAGTTTCTTATACATTTACTACTTCACGTATCTTCCAATTGAAGATGAAAAAACCAAACAAGAAAATACCACCGATCAGGAGTTGAAGAGAAGACATCTCCATCCCAACTCATTCTAGACACAATGCAATACCACTAAACCAATTCAATTTCATTGATATTATACTACAAATATTAATATTTAGGTTCAAACCCTCATTTGGTCCTCGGATTTGTGTGCCAATCTCAAGTGGATCATCGTTTTTTTTCGGTCTCAATCGAGTCCATAAACTTGTTAAAATGAGCCAATTAAACCCTCTCCGTTAATTTATCAGTAACGTCGTTTGCCTGTGATTACGTGGTGCACAGATAATGAGCTCAGTTATAATGATTTTAATACGTGGATATTAGTTTTTTGAAAAAACGTATATACGTGGTAGGGAATAAGGGAATTATTGATTTTTATTGGGTTTTTTTTAACTGAAACAGAAAAACTTAAAAGGGAATTAGAGATTTCATGAGTTAGGGATTTTGATGTGGTGAGTGAGTGTGAGAATTATGGCTCGGGAGAATTTGTGAAGACGAAGAGAATCACGTGGTGGTGGACAAACCAAATTGAAAGTGGAGGCCAGTTAAGGTTAGTTTCGTATCTTTTCGCCTTTACGAATATGTAGTTATTTTGCTACGTTTATGCGTTGTTGTGGTCCCTAATGTGTTGCGTTGTGGTCCCAATTTTGCTATCTTTTAGCGTTTAGGTTATAATTGGTTTGATACTGTTATTCTGTGATGGGTCTCAATTTTGGTATGTTATTGTATGTTGAAATGTGTACAGTGTTGTGGTCCCAAATTTGCATTTATCAATTGTTTAGAAGTAGTGGTCACCTTTCTGTCTGAGTGTTTCCTTAGTGGTGATGTTAGTTTGTTCCCCTGTCCCCTTGATGTCTTACTGTTAGCTTAGTTGGTAAAGAGTGAAATCATAATATTCCCCCCAATGTACAGGTCTTAAAAGCTTGTGCTTCAAACATAATATTGCATGGCTGAACGTATTAAAGTTGTGGTCCATCATTGTAGGCATTTTGTTAGTGATGACAATGGAAATTTAAAATTTGATGGCGAGATAACATAATGGTCTTGTGATCAGACCTGTGGTGCTATTTTGTAATATTAGCTTCAGTGAAAGACTTAGGTTATATAGACATAAAAGAACTTTGGTACAGTTTAGGAAGTCAGTCAATGGTGCCAGATAGGTTAGAATTGTTGACTGATGATATGGGTGTTATGCATATGCTGAATATTGCAAGATTAAATGATGAAGTTCATTTGTACGTTGTTCATAATACCATGGAACCACAGATAATAGAAATGATTAATTGGGTTGATGGTGATGTTAATGATGAAGGTGATGTTGGAAGACAAGTGGAGGGTGAGGCTGAGGGTCAGGTTCACGGTGAGGATGAGGGTCAGGTTGAGGGTGAGGATGAGGGTCAGGTTGAAGTTTGAACAGAAATGGAAGAGGGTCACTGTGAGGGTGAGGTTGAAGGTGAGGCTGAATTTGGAAAAGAAATGAAGCAGGGTGAGAGTGAAGTTGCTAAACAGATTGAACATGTTGAGGATGGTGAAGTAAATGATGTAGAGGAGGTTGAGGTACATGATGTAAATGATTTTGAGATATAAGATGTAGAAGAGGATGAGAATGAGGATGATCATGTAGATGAGGCTGAGGATGAGGCTGGAGATGATGGTCAGGATGAAGATGTAGATGAGTCTGTGAGTGAAGAAAGTCTAGTTGATGTCACCATTGAGTGTGACATTGGTACTTCGAAAGGAAATGTAAGGGAAGAACAACCTTTCAGTCCAGTAGGTGAGTCTTCAAGGACAACTGATAATGAATCTATGCATGATGTTCATGGCTTGTCTAACATTGAGTGGGTGTCAAATGAGTTCGATAATGGTCCAAATAGTGACGAGGATGATGATTCCATTTGTAGAACTTTGTTTCCCACATTTAGCATGCCTAAAAGTTTGACGGATTATAAATGGGAAGTAAGAACCTATTTCACTGAGAAAAAGGAATTCACAGACGCCATTAGGACTTATGCACTGAGTAATGGTAGAAATTTGAAATTCATGAATAATAACAAGAAGAGGGTTGCTGTAAAATGTTTGGGGGTAAGGGGAAATGCAAATGGTATGCTTATTGTGCCTATAGGTATGGTGTGAAGTCATGGCAACTAAGAAAAGTGATTGATGATCACAACTGTAGTACAAATTTCAATGTAAGTTGATGACTTCTAAGTGGTTGAGTCAAAGGATGGAAACATCTGTCAGAGAGAACCCTAATATGAAGGTCATGGACATTAGGGACCAAGTAAGTAGGAAATGGAATGTAGGAATCTCTAGAAATATGACTTTTAGAGGCAAAAGCCATGGAAAAGATAATATTGAGGGGTCATTCAATGAACAATATAGAAGAATCTATGATTATGGTCATGAGCTTCTCAGAGCAAATCCAGGTTCAACAGTCAAAATAAAGGTTGAAAATGTAATGATGAGTGTATATTCAATAGAAATTATGTATGCTTGAAAATGCAAAGATAACTTCATTAGTTGTAGACCCATCATTGGGTTGATGGATGCTTTTTGAAAGGCAAGTATGGAGGGGAGTTACTAACAGCAGTTGGAAGAGATGGAAATGAACAAATTTTGCCCATTGCATATGCTGTTGTTGAGGTAGAAAAACAAGACTCGTGGACTTGGTTCTGAAGGTTCTCATTGCAGACCTTGGTGGGAAGTGTGTTTGTGGAGCATTACATTTATTTCAGACCAACAAAAGGTCAATAACTGAAAAGAAATGTTAATTACAACCTACTTCAGAAATAACTCAGCTAACTTCAATATTTTAAATTGTAGGTCTTCTGCCAGATATTCAAGATCTTCTACTTGGTGTAGAGCAAAGATTTTGCGTTAGACATTTGTATTCTAACTTCAGAAAGAAATATCCTGGAAAAGACTTTAAACGTCTGATGTGGAGGGCAGACCTTAAACGTCTGATGTGGAGGGCAGCAAAAACCACATATCCACAACTATGGGAGGCTGAAATGAGGAAAATTAAAGAGATCAATGTAGAGGCATTTAAATACTTGATTGTAATTCCACCTAGGTATGTATTCACTTATCTCCAAACGTTATTGTTATTTTATTGTTATATTTACTTTGACAGTTATATTTACTGACATTTAAATCTCTCAGGTTTTGGTCAAGATCTAGATTCACCCCTAGATCACAATTGACACTCTTATCAACAACATGTGTTAGGGCTTCAACAGTGTGCTAGTTCGTACTAGGTGTAAGCCAATTATCACTATGTTAGAAGACATTAGGGTTTACATCATGAAGAGACACTAGTGCAGAAAGGGCTTTAGACGTTTGTTATTTTGGCCTTTTAACATCAGATATGCATCCGACGTCTTTATGGGTGACGTTAATAAGACGTCAGGCAGTGTATACTCGATGTATATGTAGACGTCGGAGGTGGCATACACAACGTCAATATAGACGTAGGAATGGATATATCCAACGTCTATAGAGACGTCGGATGTAGGAATATCGGACGTCTATAGGCCCTGAAACGTTTTGTTCACTATAACTCATTGGACGTCGGTGTGTGCATTGACAGACGTCTATAGACGTCAGGCAATACATTAACCAACGTCTATTCGGTGTTTTTTTTTAAAAAAATTGATTTGTTTTTGCAATAAAAGCACACCTGAAAAACTGAAAATTGTCCCAGAACAATATACTATAATATATATATATTATATATTATATGTGTGTGTGTGTGTGTGTGTGTGTGTGTGTGTGTGTGTGTGTGTTTGTGTGTGTGGGTGTGTGTGTGTGTGTGTGTGTGTTTCATATAAAGAAGTTCTACTTATGTAAAAAACAATCCAATACCAAAACTATAAAAATATAAACTTAAACTAAACTAATGTTCAACAAGAAATATAAGTGATCCTAGCTCTATCTTTACAGAAGATAAGTTGTCCACTCCTGCCTTATCTGCCTATTGTGTCCTCTGGTACTAGGAGATGTACTCTTGAATGCTGCAAATGAAGAAAGATTCATTATGGTTTCATATATGTTTAAAGATGAATTTTGATTTGTAATGTATTCAAGGTATGCATCATTACTTCATTCCAATCATTGGTGATGAAACAACTCGAATGATGGTCTTATCCAACAAATGACATAGAAGCACATTCTCATGAATCTAGCGCTGGTTACACTAAAATGACAACTAAAATAGTAAGAATTTTAGATCATTCAATAACATAGAAAATGAATTAGAAGTAAAATGACTTACCAACCTTGGATACAAAATTTGAAACTAGTTTGACCTCGAGATTTACCATAAACTCTATTTAGATTGAAAACACAAAGTAAAATTAATATAACTATATTTATATAATAAAAGTTTAAAGGTGAACATCAAATTCAAAGTCATTAAGGTGTAGAAACACTTACCCTTGAAGCATGGTTCTAAGTCAGTTTTCATCTTCCTGCAGCGAACAAAACCATATAATTTTACATTGTTTGGAATGATGACCATCAACTAGCCAGTGCGACTATCACGAATCACAAATAGTTAGTTAACTAATTAAGTAAACTTTAATGAACTTTTACATATAACAACACCTACCCAATCAAGGTATGGCACGTCTCCCTTTTTGACTCATCCATCCATGTTTGCAAATAATGTTGTTTGCTTTGAAGTGTGTTACCAAAAGGTTGAATGGTCTGAGGTTCAACAAATTCATACATGGAAGACCGTCCTTGGTCTACAACGATTGTGTCCATGTACCTAAAACAACAAAGTTAAGTTGTTAGAATATAGGAATCTAAATAAAACTATTATGGAAGAAAAAATTAACTATCTTACTTGCACCACAGTTGAATGATGGAAATATTCAACATCATGTCTCCCCCAATTACCTCCAATGCATCAGTCAATGTGATATATAATAGCACATGGGGTGGGGGAGACCAAATACTCTCAAATCCTAGGATAGTTCTAATGGTGCTCTCTTCAACCTGGGTAACCTTGTCATTAGCTTTGATAGAGGATCATCCTCCGCTTCAGCCATGTCACCATCTTCATGTATGACTGTATCATAAATCGGCTGCTTCTAAGGGACGTGTGAACTGAAGATAAGAATTTCAAAGTTATCAACAAATATTTTTAAATTTAACATAGAAATACTAATAACAAAGACATTATACCTATGGATTAGCGATGTGTGACATGATCAATGCTCTAGGCCAGACTATAAATGATCCTATGGCCTCCCCACAAAATGAATTTCTGGAGTGGGTACATGCACCTGAACCTGGGGATCCCGAACCTCGTCAATCGTCACACGCATGTAGTGGGGTAATATGGGAACACCGTGAATAGTCTGCCCTCCCTCAAGCACTCGTCTGACAACCACAATGCGTGGGGGATCCCCATCAACCAACAGCTCATATTGACCGCTATACTGACTAGGTTCTACAGCAGATCATGATCCTCTAGTGCTGACACGAGGTAGTGTGGGAGCTTCAGCGGGCCCCATGGTGCCCTGCGTCATGGAATGCAGCTTCTCTTCAAGCGCTCTTTGTATTTCTTTTTGTTCTTGTAGCTGCTTCATGAATCGTTGCTCCATTGATCTCATGCTTTGGTTGAGCCTTTCCTCCCACTGAAGATCCATCTTCCTTAGTGCCTCCTGAGTCATGAATTGAGTGTTTTTTTTTGTTTAGGGCCAAAGTAGTCACGAAGACCAATCGCCCCAGGAACTCCACGTACACGTCCTGGCTGCTCGGGCTTTCCAATGGTCGTTGTTAGAATGTCGTCCCTACCTTGGACAGCAAATGTCCAATCAGACAATTCAAAATTTAATACAAACGATTAAAAGATTAATCGTTTGTGTTAAATTTGAAACGGGAACTAAGTTTCACTCAATGATTTGATACTTATAATCTAACATGGCAATTATAATAACACAACTATCACATGCATATTCAAACCAATAACACATGCATACTTAATCGTCAAAAACATGCATACGCAAAAGCCAATAACATGCATACACAAAAGCCAATAACATGCATACAACAAAAGTTATCAATAAAGAAGTTAACCTTTTTAGCAGATTAAAAAAGCAATGCAGGGAAATGGAGTAACGTAGGCCCAAAAACGTAGGCTAAAAAGAGTCAAAAGCGCCGCTCAAGCACAAGCCAGAAACTACACCAAAACGTAACGAGAATGAATTTTAATCGGTTCAAATGGAAGATATTTCAACAAAGAGTAATTTAATCGAAGTAAAAGTAAATTTAAACGGTCCAAAAGAGAGGAAACGCACCTGCACATGCATTGTCTCAGAGAGAAAACGCGGGGAAGACGATGAACAGTGAGAGTAACTCCTCGCGGGTTTATGTTTTGCATAATAAATGGCTATAGACGTCGGGGCCCTAACTAATATGACGTCTTTCTGATTTAAAAATTCATATTCGCGGGGATTATAGGCGTCGGTTTAGAGGGGCCCCGACGTCTAAGTGAACGTTTCAGCTACCCTGTCATTCATCTAGACGTCCGATAGAAGGGCCCCGACGTCTATAATATTATAGACGTCGGGGCCCTTCCTATCGCCTAGATGGCTGAAAAAATAACTTCTCACCTACCCTATCAGTCATATAGACGTCCGTTAGGAGGGGCACCGACGTCTATAATATTATAGACGTTGGGGCCCCACCTAACCAACGTTTATAAGTTATTTTTTCAGTCATCTAAACGTCCGTTAGGAGGGGCCCTGACGTCTATAATATTATAGACGTCGGTGCCCCTCCTAACGGACGTCTATATGCCCGCTTATTTACGAAAATGCCACCGGTCAATAATTTACGTTGCTTGTTTGGGGGACCGACGTCTGCGGGGTGACGTTAAAGGCTAATTCTGCACTAGTGAGATGAGCTACGAACAGGACAAAGATGGCATTATATCAAGGTTCTGTGTCCCGTAAGGTTCTGAACAAATTTCAAAAGTAGTCATGGTTAACCAGATATTGGTTACCAAGGTAACTTTAAACCTACAATTAATTTGTGTTCATCATTAAGAAGAGCTTGTTCATCATTAATTTGTGTTGTCATTTTGTACTCATGATAGATGGTCATCACATCAATTATTTGAA